CGAGCACTTTCTGTTTTAATGAATGAATGAATATCGGTGCCATTAAATCTGTTTATCCTTAAGATGTTGAAGTTATCAGAATTGGTTGCATACAATTCTGGTTGCATACAATTGGTTGCATACAATTCATTTCAAACACTATTTAGTGTTTCTTTTCTTTCTTTCTTTCTTTCTTTTTTTTTTTTTGGAAATGAATGTTTCTAATGTCACTTTCCACCAAGTATACCTGTGATCTGATGTGACTTGGGTAAGACATTTTTTGTAATAATTGAAGGCCAGCTGAACTGGTGGCTTTGTCATTAATCTCATGCATGTTTAGCTCAAAGTATGAGGTTATCATCCTAGGAGTTTGCTTGGGATATACTCACAGTGATCTCTGCAAAACTGACAATTGGTATCCTAGGCAGARAGCATAGCTACTCAGTAGACCATTGGTCAAGGTGGAAAATATGTCTACATAATAAAAACTCCATCTCCACACCTTCCTCCAGAAGGATATCTCCCATAAATAAGTACACGCTTTCTACTCTGCTAAATACCCCTGTATTAGTGGGAGGAGAATGAGTTGGTAGATAAACTTCAGCAATAGATAGTTCAAATACTTCACAAAATATATCCTTACTGAATTACTTAGTGGCAGACTTAGCATATGTTTAGGGAACCAGAAAAACACAAGTAATAAAATGGGGAAATAAAGGATAATTAAAAACATCAGACATTAAACAAATTAAAGCAATCATGTGGAAAGTCATTTGAAATACTTATTTTTCATTTAAGGTTTAATTTTTTTTAATGGCAAATACATTTTTAAACAGGTCTATCATAGTCATCTTAATGATGAGTTCCTCTAAAGGACATAGTAAAGGTCACTACCTCCAAATATAATTCAAGCTTTTTAAGATGGTTGAAGGTGAGAGAGAAATAACTGGACTTGCTTTTAATATTTTATTAACATTTAACATTTTATTATTTGTAACCATTCAGATTAATGCATTTTTAACCTGTCAAGGAAACAAGGGATTTCATTTTAAAACTTGTTTAGAAAGTAAAGAGATATTTAGCAAGATAACTCTCTTGCATTGCAAAAGAAAATAATGGAATTCACAAGTATCAGCTCCAAAATCTAAGGATCTCATATGAAATTTGTGCACTCATTTCAATCCAACCAAATTTGAAAAAAAGTTCCCTAGTGATAAGGCCTACTTCTACTTGTAGATCTCCTATAGGTGTTAACTGAGTGTTATTTACAAAATCTTAGGATTCAGCAGGAGAAACTAATAGATGTGAGGAAAAACTTGATCTCAGAAATTTTCACAGAATCATCATTGAATTAGGTATTGAATGAGTCAGAAGGCAAAATTTAATCAAACCTATTAAAATAATAAGTGCATTCTGGTGAGTAGGCATTTGCTTTTGTTAAAATATCTTCAATGCCACATGGGACAGAAGATAGTTCAGTTCCTTAAACTACTTAAATTAGTTTTTAGTAAGTAGGTCATAATATCTGTCCTGTTCCATTACTTTTCTTTCTCACTAGTACAGCATTTTTATCTCTGTAATTTGTTGTTTTGTTTGTTTTTAGTTCAGGGGACAAGGAGTAAGTAGCAACTTCAGTATCATGGAAATATCACAATAACACTGTGAAAAGAACACTCTCCCATTMAGGAAATACACCACTATTTTATGACCCCCCCTTTATACTTTGACTTCATAATAAATTAAAACCTTGAACACTTCATGCCTTTTTATAGTATTATGCCATTCATTTCATAACCTTAACTGTGTTTTGTAGAAGCCTGGTACTTACTTGTCTCCCTTGAACAATGGTATGTCTATTTTTTCCTTGATAGTCCACTACTCCCACATAGTCCAAGTATAGATCTACCCAGTAAACCAATTTGTTGACTAGGTCTAGTGCCAGTGCAGCTGGCTGCTCTGTCTTTGAATCAATTATCCTGGTTCTGTTCATCCCATCCATGTCACATCGCTCCACTTTGGCGACATTCCCGTAGTCCGTAAAGAAAAGTTTTCTGTTGAAAGAAAACTAAATGTTAAAGTGGAGGAGAGAAAAAAGCATATTTGATGGAGCCATCTGTAAAAAACAGAACTTTTCTTTCTAATTTATTTCAGTGGTTACATCTGTTAGCTTCCCATAACCATTTCCATATAATATCACTCATAAACAGAGGAATCTGCTAATGAATATTGCAGGGCATAAGGGAGCAGGTTAACCAACAACTGTAAAATTTCCTCAGAATGAATGACTGTGGTGGGTTTATTTTTGTATTAGGAGAAATGTTTCTTTAAGCCTCACAGAGCTGAGGCACATTCACCACATTCGGTGTGAGCTTCAGAAGTGAGCCAAGTCACCAGGCCAGGGCACGTGAGCAATCAGGCTTTATCTTCAACCTGCTTTTCAAATTGCCTGGTAATGTTTGTTTCCTATAAAAGCTATTATGTGGAGCTCAATGATGCTATGAGTAGTAGAGAATAGCARACCTGGAATGGAATTAAGCAGATGGAAAAGCAAATGTGCTGTTTGTAGCATTGGAAATTAAACATAAATATCACCCTCCCCCAAACCTATCCTAAATTCTCTCAAATATTCCCAAATCATAAAATCTCATAAAGGAAATGAAGGTCATTTCTCCTCAATTTTCATAATATATTTTGAAGAAAATGCTAAAAAAGGAATGCTGACCTCTGAGATAATGAATCCCTCCATGCAGAGCTAACAGTTTCTGTGAAAGGCTTAAATGTACCCCCAAATACTTTAGGGTCTAATATTATGTTAGTATTCACTATGTTTAGTAAATACAAATCAATTTCAATTAATCTGACAATATTTAACAACGTTACTACTCAGAAGACTAAATTACATTTGTAAATCAAAGACCATCTTGTTTTGACTTAAATACAATCTCAAGAATAATCCCATATATAATGATGGAGCAAAAGTAAGATCACCTAGAGTACAGAATATTAGATGTTACAAGTTTGAAGAATTAGTTTTTAGTTACTTTACTCAACATTCTTGAAATAACAGTATGGGTCACCTGTCCAGCTAAAAATCATGTTTTACACTTTAATTTTGATTTAGCTCTTTCTGTTCTTGGAGACWTTGACTAATTTTTAAACATTAATGCATACTGCTCTGTGATACTGTAGGCCAGGCATTGTTATGAGTATGCATTTCTCCCAAATGTTCTTGAGAGATACATTTATCACAATAGATTCAACATGATTTTTCAAGTGACAGTTCTTTCACATGAAGAGCTTTTTATTCTAGTGAAGAGTAAATAAAAATAAATATGATACCTGCCTGGTTTATTGTCAAAGTAAAAGTTTAAGATTGCTTGGTCTTGTCTCTGTCTCTGTTTCTCTGTGTGTGTGTGTGTGTGTGTGTGTGTGTGTGTGTGTGTGTCTGTCTGTCTGTCTTTCTCTTTCTTTCCTTCCATTCTACATGTCTACTTTCTTTACCTATAAAGCAGTTTGTTCATACCCATGCCCAGGTTTCTGTAAAGAGTACTTCTCTCACATGTTAGATAGTGCCCACTATTTCTGCTACATGAAGCTCACTTTCTCGCCTCAGGATACAATGCCTCCCTTTCTGTAATTCTCTTTTCTTGTCAGTCTATTTCACAAAGGTGAAGAGAAGCTGGTATGTATGTAGTTTGATGGGCACAGGAGTGAGAGGCTCTGGCACACTATGGATTGTGTGATATATACAGACTATGTATAGAGGGTGATATATGGCAGGCAATAGCAACTGTCTATGTAGTGTTTAAGAGGAAAAAATGAATCTGGAGATAAAAAAGACTTTTTTGAAGTCATTTTCGGATGACTTTACTGGATATAATCCCAAAAGAAACAAAGGGAAGAGTGCCAAGACAAGAAACCTGGAGGCCTGCTATTAGAGAAATAGGATCAAAGGAGATCAGAGGTTAGAGGAGATCAGAGGTTAGAGAAAATAGACTTTCATAAAGGTCCAAAAGAGAAAAATTTTAGGATGAAGGATTAAACCGCCTAGTTAAGTCAATCATTTTACAAAGTAAAAAGGAACATTTGTTAAGAAGATATCAGTGAATTTAGTGTTTATTCAAGGACTAGTAACTTTTAGTACTTTTTTTGAGAAGTATAGTTATCAAAGGAAAGTGGGACTACTTCATGATGAATGGTAAATTCTTCTTCCTACAAATTTTTCAGTGATCATTCAGGAATGATGCAAGTGATTCTCATATGTGTTCTAGGTCATAATAAAACTTGTAATAGTAACTCTGGGTAAGTTTTAGCCAAATATGAAAAATTACATATATATATGTAATTGACCAAATTTTACTGTTTTAGTGCAAGCATAGGTGAGATGTCACTGAGTTAGAAAAATAAAGTGTTTATATTTTACTCCCAGTACATAGGAGAATACCAGTGCCCAGAGAAGAGTTAAAGTTGTTATTKGGACTAAATTGAACCTTCCTGGGCTTCAGAAACCAGACTATGATGAACTCTGTTCACTTTTAAATGAAATGCAAGAAATAGGAGGGTTCTCAAGGATAATACCATCATAGCCATAAAATTACCACAAGAAACTGTAGAACTATAGGCACATGATGTACATGTTTCTTTGTTTTCATTTGTGTTCAATCTTTCTTTAAATTTTTATTTTTAAGAAGCATAACTGTATTACAACTGGCAAATACAAGAGAAGATAGAGTGTTATGAATTGAAAAATTATTCCTCACTTACCTATAAAATACTTGGCCAAATCTTAGAAAAAAGCAAATAGTGTTTTATTAATCTCATTACCCTATTGATTATTATAATTTCCTATGGCACCCAGTACATTTATCTTATCTTATCTCATAAGAACAGATACTACACTTGATCTTAGCCAAATGACTGAAAAGCAAATGTAGCAGATTATTTTTATTTTGCAGATTAAAGAGACACAAAATCCATATGATTTGCCATTACTAGAGCCATAACATGAATGTCACACCACTTTTTACTCATTTATTTTGTAAGAATTTCAAACTTTCAGAAAAGTTGTAAGAATACTAAAGTAAATGTCTGTAGTTTTCATGTTTACCCACCAGTTCATATTTTGTCCCATCACCTATTCTATGTACTCTCTATACTATCTAATAGTAAACTGTAAACATCATGTTGCTTTAAAGCTAAATATTTCAGCATGCCTCCCTAAGGACAAGGGCATTCTCTTGTATAACTATAGTACATCTATTATAATTAACTATATTATACACTATATAGTTAATTATATGTATAATATACACATGTAGATGTGTATACACATGTATATATATACATATACTATACACATACACATGTGCATATATAATACAGTCCTAATTTAAGTTTTGCCTATTGACCAATAATGTCTTTATAGTAATTTGTTGTTCACAGTGTAACCCAGCATCACACATTACATTTAATAGTCTTTTCTCTCTAGACTCCTTTGTTCTGGAGTGTGTATCAGTCTTTCTTTGTGGTACTTGATGTTAACATTTCTAAAGGGTAGATATGAGTTATTTTGAAGAACATCTCAATTTGGTGTTTGCCATATTTTTCTCATAATTAGATCATGTTTTGTTCTTTGAGCTGAAATGCAATCATTCTTACCTATATTGTTACTGTCCCTAGGGCTAATAAACAACKAGGAATCCCATGAGAGAATATAGATGGTGGCTTAGGAACCCACTGATTCCATCTTTTTCAGTATTTCCTGAACGCTCAACTGTCTCAACTTCCAGGACCCTCAGTCTTCTTTACAGAATATCCACCTATAGTACCCATGTGCTGTGCAGTCCCTGGTTAAAGCAGGGCCCCCTGTGTAGCCCTCTCCCTTGTTGGAGGAGACCAGGCCTATGTACCATTCCCATAGAACTGCAATTACACATTTCTTCTCCCACTCTTCTTCCCTCTGGTATCAAATATTTTTCACTTATTAAAAAAAATGATAAACTGTGATTGCTATTCTCTTTTTTCTACATTGATTTTTTGACACTTCTTTTCTCAGTAACACAAAAATTAAAGTTAAAATAAAACAACGTGCTAACTATTGTCTCTATTTCTAAAATGTGCAATTATTAACTCATATATTATAGTAACACTTCTTTCAACATTTCAATTACTCATAGATTCTGAAGTAAACTAAAATTTATCATTTTGAATTCATTATCTCATCACATATAGGAAATTTTAATATGACATCTTCATCGATTGTCTGAGCAGCTCTGTTTAACTATAGATACCATATATTTTATAKAGTAGAGAACAGCAGGAAACTTTTGAGTATTGTTGGTAAACTTGCCTGATATAAATCAAAAGTCATAAAGGGAACACTCACAGACAGTGATAGAGCACTGTGCATACAGAGTTATGGTTTCAATCATCCTTGTACTGTAAACCAAAGCAATAATTGTTACACATATTGACATCTTGTAGCACATCGTTTTTAGCTCATGAAGATAAGAATTACTTTTTCTAGTGATATTCATTTTAAATTACATTTCTATATCGTATTCAAAAGGACATAGATAATTTAAATACATCAGAGTCCTGTCCATGTCTTTAAACTCTTAGCACAGTTAGCCCTGGTTTTGTGTCACCATCTTATCTCTTGTAATTTACTGATTGAATTTGGAAAATTTCAAAAACAGTTCCAAAATGATATAAATTATAATTCATTTCAACTTTTTAAAAATTAGAATATATAAAAATATTTTCAAATGAGGTTACATTAGAAGATATTTTAAATATATTGTAAAAAGGAAGATATGAAATGGAGCCTAATTGATAAGGAAGTGAACCAAAAAAACAGTGGGTTATTTATTACCAGATATTTTATACGTATTTTACATTATATATATATATATATATATATATATATATATACATATATAATATGTGTGTGTGTGTGTGTGTGTATGTGTGTGTGTGTGTGTGTGTATTTAACTGAGGCTGAGGAAACCATCCGGGTTTATTACTCATGTATTAATGCTGATAATTGCAT